GAGCTTGTGTTTCCAGAACAAGCCCTTCCCACACCCCTGCGCCAGCGTGCCATCCCACCCTTTTCACCATGGCCTCAGTAGGGGGCTCTTCCCCGTTTTGGGGAAAGAAGTGCGCAGAAAGGCCACACAACCTGAGCTGTTGAAGTGTCAGGGCTTCAAGGCAGGTCACCCGACCTGGGGTCCCAATGGCCCAAGGACTCAAGTTGGCTGAGTCTAAATGAAGCCTCGGCCGGGCTCCAGGGAGATCTTAATGTTCTCTTGTGAGTCCAGCTGCTGGGCGGTGGAGGGGGGCTGTGGGGGAGGAGAGACCCTCGCTCAGTGTTGGGACCAGAACCCCTTGCTCTGAAGAGAGGCCCCCTCCCAGGGGGCCCAAGTTAGTCACTTGGGGGAGTGGAAAGTGGACACGTGGGGGTGCTTGCTCATCTGTAGGACACTCTACCTGCTGTTCCTTCTACCTTCCAGGTCTCTGACCGTCCGTCCGAGGTGTGTCCTGGTCACTGCCTCAGCCATTGGCCTCTCATTTCACCTTATCTATGTGCACACTTGAGAGTCTCCCATTGCCCCCTCCTTGGCTGTCCACTGCCCCGACAGACAGGCCTGCCCTGCCCCTAGCCGTGTTCCTGGCATCTAGCTCGTGCCTGGGCCCTTGCCGGCACTTGCCCAGCAAGGAAGGGACTTCAGAGGGCCGTGGAGAGATGGCATTAAAGGCAACGCGGAGTGTGTCCACAAACTTCCCGAAGCCCCTGGTGCTTGCTGACTGATGGAACAAGTGACAGGAGGAAGCGGGCAGGAAACCACGGGGCGGGGTCTCACTCTGCCTTACGTGCTATGTGGCCTCAGCTATGGGGCTATGGGGCCGCTGCCCCTCTTCATAAGCGTCACCCCTCTGAACAGACACCAGAAAAGCCCCCAACTCACTGCCATCGAGTCGGGGCTGACTATGGTGACCCTATGGGACAAGGTAGAACTGCCCTGCGGGCTCTGAGACTGAGGGCTTATGGGAGGAGGACGCCCGTCTTTCTCTTGTAGAGCAGCTGGTGCTTTTGAACTGTGTATCACAGTTGGGTACCAAGTGCTTCTGAACTTGGGTACCGCAGCCCACAGTCCAACCACTGCGCCACCAGGGCTCCTCTGACCAGATCAAGCCCAGTGTCAAGGGAAGAGCATAGCGGTGAGGGGGTTGTGGTTCCTGCTGGACGAACTTAGCCCTGTGCTACCAGCTTGTTAATCCTCCTTTCTGATGATCCTGCGAGCTTCGAAGTCCCGGGTGTCGCGGACGCACAGAGCCCAGACTGGGTTTCTTATTCAATAAACGTTTATTCTAGTTCACAGATAATTTTTTCCCGATACAATAATGAAAATAGTACTAGCGATTCATAACACTTATATCCAAATCAAAGGGGAGCCCCCTCCTCAACGAAAAGGTAAATGATGCGTAACTGAACAGATAAACGCGGGGCCAGAGCTCTGAAAGTATATAACCGGGTCGCGGTTCCCCAGGCGCGCTGCATAGGTCGTTGCTCGGGGAGCCGCTTCGGAAAGCGTAGGGTTTTGAAAACAACAGAACTGTGATTAAAAACCCAACTGGAGAGCGAAGAGGAACCAAGCAAAACGAACAGAAGTGAGGCTAATATGGGGAGGGGGCTACAAACTGCGGTCCTCTGGCCCTGGAATGGCAAAGTGGAGCGGGTTTCTGTAAAAACTCTCCCTAGAAAGGAGGGCCGGCCGGCTGCGACTCCCAGTCCGTGTCTCCTCACAGAGGAGAAGTGGAGCTCACAGACCGGCCGGCCGGGGTCTGCAGGGCGGGTCCACGTTCCCAGCCCTTTGAGAAGAGTCCCAAGTCCCGAAAAGGCAAGGCCCGCCCTTGGCGGCCCCAGGGCTTCAGGGAGGATGGGGTCAGTGTCCCGCCTGGGCCCGGCCGGGCCCGGGGTTGGGGCTGGAGCTGTTCACGTGGTTCACTGGGAGTGGGTGGGCCTCGGTGTTGAACACCCAGTCTTCCAGGGAGAACACGTCATCTTCAGAGAACAGGAGATAGAGATACCTGTGGGCCGGAGGGAGCAGGGAGGAGACACAGTGTCAGGGCCGGGGGCTGCTCACGGGGCTCGTCCCAGGGAAGTGGGCTGGGGTCGCCCAGGCAGGCCCTGGACTTTGGGGTCAGGCAGACCAGGTTTAATCCTGGCTGTGTCCCCTGCCTTACACCTGCCAGCTTCCCTCAGGTACTTTGCCTGCCTGGCCCCCTGCCTTGCCAGGGCCCTCACAGCCCACTTTTTCTACTTCCCAGCATGGCCCGAGTGCTGCCCCAGTCCAAATCCGTACACATGCTGAGATAGTTCAGGTTCATTGTGCCAACCTGGCCGATAAACACATGTGGGGTTAATTGAAGGACAGAGGGATAAATGGCTCCGTGAGCCTCGCCTTTCGAGTTCTCGGGTCTCCTGCTTTCTGATGGTTGGACCAGGGCGCAGCTGCCTTAGCAGTTCCCTGCTTCAGCTTGCAAGGCTCACTTCCTGCGAGACATCCCTGAGGAGAAGCCGCATGGATCTACCCCGATGCAGCCCTGGGTGCTGGAGCAGCCATGAGGAGACCCCTGCCAGCGCTGAGATGCTTACATGTTCACTGACTCGGCTTTCCTCCTGCAGTTGGCATCCTAGTGTGTGTTTTGTGAGGTGGAGGAGGACTTTGTGGATTGGTGTTGGGCATATGGGCTAATGTCAGACTCGTGGGCTTGGGCAGCACTGGGTTGGGATGCTTTCTTGATGTATAATTACCCTTTACATAAAACTCTCTCTTATACATATGAGTTTCTGTGGATTTGTTCCCCTAGTTTACCCTGACTCACACACGTACCACCTTACAGCCTCCAGAAGCAGGGCTCTGCCCTTGAACGTAGGTTGTTAGCTGACGGCACTGAATGAAGCAGCTGCCCTGGGCTGGAGCCTCTCTGACTGCAGGGCCTGGACCTCTCCAGCCTGCCCTAGAGGCCAGGGCCTGAGAGGCTGCCCCTGGGAACAGCACTGCTGCGGAGGGAGGGAGGGAGGGAGGAGAGGACAGCAGTGGCCAGTACTGGCCTTGGGGACAGGGCAGGCACATCCGCTCACTCTCCACATGCCCCTGGCAGGCGTCCACCTTTACCCTGTCACAACTGTTCTTACGCGGCGCCCGTGAGGACCCGGTTCCGGACAACCAAGAACCGGCGGGCAGAGGTCGCAGGGTGACGTCCTGGCACAGGGCTTGCCCTCTTGGGAGGACTGGCCGGGGCTCCAGGCTCAGCAGACCTGTCACCTCGTGGGCCTCAACCCCTCCTCACTGCCCAGTCTTCTGAAACAGGGCTTAAGTACTGGTGAGGGGAAAGGAAGCTGCCTGCCCCGCCCCTCCCCCGGCCCTGTCCCCCAGAAAAGTGCCGCCTCCCCCAACTCACTTCAAGGTCTCTGCCAGGAAAAAGCTCTGCTGCCTGTTGTCGTGGTTGGGGAGGCTGCTGTAGACGTCTTGGATCCCCGAGAAGCCGCCTGAGGTCCGGCAGTGTTTCTCCAGGGCCTGAGGAGATGGGGGTGGGGGTGGGGTAGGGGGCTAAGAGAGGCCACCAGGAATTGGCCGGCTAGAGGCTGTAGCATATGGACAGCCAGGCCCCGAGTCCCCTGACTGAAGATCCAGCCACATGGCCTGGCCACCACCAGGCCTGGAGGGGCCACACCTTCTGTAGGTCCCCCTGAGAGCTGTCCCCACCCACAGACTGGGATGGGCCCGCCCTGAGACTCTGCATCTAATGTGAACTTGGAGGGCGGTCCTCTGCCTTTCAGGGAAGGGAGGCCATTCTGATGAGAGTGCCCACAGTGGGGGCGGAGGTTAAGGAGGGCCACTGTCATGTCCCTGGGGAGCGGGGACCTCCAGGAAAAAGGGCAGGCCGAGGATTCTCCATAGAGAATGAACTCCCCACCCCACACACACAACTTTGAGGCAGGTGGGCCGCTAGGCTGGCTGTGTTCCGTATATACACACAGGGATGGGTCCGGAGCACAGTCTGAGGGTGATGAGCCAGGGTCCTGAACATGTGGGTGGTCTCGGGCCAGCACCCACGCT